TCCTGAGCCAGCTCTAGGAGTGACCGCGCATAGAGCTAGGAGGAAAATGGAGACGTGGGTTGCAAGACAACACTCTCAGAAATGGAGAAGTATCTCCAGATATCTCCGCCAGGCACGGGAACTCATTGAAGGGCCCAGTGCTAAGGTTGGACGTTTCTGCCTATCTGTGGATAGAGCCAACCTCAGGTTGGTGGTGGGACTGTTGTCTGGCCATAACGCGTTAAGGCGCCACCTGCACGTGATGGGGGTGGCTGAGGATCTCTTGTGTGAACGCTGCGGGGTAGAGGATGAGACCTCGGTGCACGTTTTGTGTCGCTGTGAAGCTCTAAGCTACTATAGGCAGACTATACTGGGGTCCATTACTTTGGATCCTCAGGACGTCAAGGAGCTTGGACTCAAGGCGATTCTCAACTTCGCTGAAAGGGCGAGGCTTGTGATCTAAGGTATGTAGAGGTGCATAAGGGCCCGCTTAAGCGGCTTATGCACTGGCTCCTTATGGTGGCCGGAATGCCTCTAATTTCAAGATTCATTCTTTGATTCATTCATAGGAATATCCGAGCCATTGCTTTTACTCATAAGTAAATTTAGCATAGCTGTATGCTCTAGAGAGTATCAACAGAGTCTCTTTGAATCCTATCCCACTTCTGATTTGATTTGGAGATAAACCGAACATAATCTAATTTATGAATTAAACCATAATTCAAATTTTCAAGTAACCTATCGCCGAGATTTTTTTCGTGGCCTATGTTGATACAACTCATTGCTAACGCTGATACGTTCAGGGTCACTCACAGTGTAAACAGTCCCTTAGATCTCTTCTTGAATTTTAAGCAAACAATAACGCTTCCATGCATTTCACAGTAGGTTGTAACAGTTGTCATCAAAGATTTTCAAAATTTGGAAAATTTTTATACTTTTAGAAAGTTTCACGATTTTCAACATCTTCAAAGTTTTTAAAACTAGATACCATGATTTTGAAATTATTGGCTTTTCTAATTTTTCAGAATTTTCAATATTTTAGGGATTTTCAAGCTCTTTGAAAATTCCAAAATTTACAAAACTTCCATAATTTTCAAGATTGTCAAAGTAAAATGTTCAATTTTCAAAGTTTTTGGAATTTTCAAAATTTTGGATTTTCAGAGTTCTGAAAATTTTGAAAATGTTAATTTTGAAAACTTGCGATGACATCAGTTACAGATTACCTTGAAATGCTAACATTAAATACCTCCTTAAACGTTCCTCAAGGAAGCGTTATTATTTGTTTAAAATTCAAGAGAGATCATTCTGAGAACGGCAGCCAATCCTCAAGGAAAGTCTATAAGCGTGACCCTTATCTTCCTAAAATTCGAAGTGCATGTTTTGTTGTTGATGATGACAGACACTTATGACTTGACACTAATCGAGGTTATCCCCCGGTGTGCGAAAAGCAATTATTATTCAATTTTCTCCAAATAGTAGGTGCCTGCTGGAAATAATCACAGAAAAACACAAATTACGCATATTTATGTAATAACAACTATGCAACTATATCGTTCGAACCATTACGAACTGAATAATCCGCAAAAAAATAATATCTCACGTGCAGCAAATCTATGACCGTAATGAATATCAATGCTTCTAACTTTCTGATATAGTTGTCAAAACTGCATTCACAGATGGATGTAATTTTTGGGCTGAGATGTGAAATTCATTATGCCAAATATCAACGGATTTCAAAAGACTGCTTTTGTTTTGGCTTTTCGCCCGTGCATTGGAGATAAATAGCCCGTATTTATAAAAATGAAGCATTTACTTTGAAGTAAAAGGTACAAGCAAAAGGTAGAAGTAAAAGGTTTTGCTCTAATTCGTATTCATAATCTCTACCTCTTCCTTGCAAGCAAATGCTTCGGGAAAATAAAGTAAAAGGTACGGAGATTAGCGATTTCGACAAGATATGACTTGTAGCGTGCAATCAACGCGTATGCGGTCTGTAACTGATGGGGTTGATCTTATTTGTCTCATAATTAAAAGCAGTTCGCACGTCAATTGATGTAAAGAAGATCCAGCTAACTTTTTTGTGCAGCTATTTTAAAGTGAATAAAATATTTAAAATATCTGACACCGATAGTGAACAGGAAGTTACCGAAGATGCCCCTAACGAGATGATGTTTATCGCTGAAAAAGTCCAAGCATTTCCGGAGATTCTCGAGAGATCTCAAGTTCCAGCGATGAAAAAGAAGAAAACTGCTGCATTAACTGATATCGTTAAGGAATACGTTACTTTATTTGTCAAGGAGATGAATATTAAAGCTTTTATGAAAAAAGTGAACAATATGAAAACGCGACTGAAAAATAAAACTGACAAAAATAAAACAGGAAACAAGCCCATTCGTCTTTTGTCCTAGGAGAAAGTTATGTTAAAGGCTATGGATGCGGACATAAATCCTGTATTAAGTCGGGTACCAGGTAAGAAATAGATTCAGGTCTTTACTATTACCTTGTAGGTACTTATCATGCATGTATATTTTTGTTACGGGCTCTTGCAATTGGCGTGGCAAGTCAACCTTCTTTACCTACTTCAAAGGATGACATTATGGTGGAAAACGACGCTCATCAGATGATTATGCCTGAAGTAATAGCTAACAAAAAGTGATCCTACACATCGGTTGAAGAGGTTGCTGCAAAAAAATCCTCCGAAGCCTACCTTTGCTTCGGGCAAACAAGATTCTGACGTAATTATACACCTATATTGTTATTGGTAATAAGACGAGCTAATTCCTCTCGCTGCCTTTGTCCTTGTGCGCGAATAGCATCTACATTTTCATTCTCTATAAATGGCAAGTCCTGTTCTTCATCTTCGTCATTTTCTTGAAAATCTTCATCTCTTAATTGCTTAGCTATATTGCACACGCAATTATAACTTTTGGAATACTGGTCAGTTTTACTCTGCATCCATACTTCAGGATAGAAAATCGACGCTTTATTTGCCCAAATGTATGCTCAATCACAACTCGCTCTGTAAGCAGCCTGTTAAAGACTCTCTGATATTCCTCGTGGGGGTCGGTGTAAGGGGTCATAAGACATGACATTATACCATACCCACTGTCTCCTCGAAGAATAGTGTTTCTTGTCTTTTTCATGACTTCACACACTGCCGAATTTTTCCATATACGAGCATCATGGACTGATCCAGGCCAACTTGCATCTATACTAGTTATAACAGAATTCTGGTCGCATGTAACCTGTACAATAATACTGGCAAAACCTTTTCGATTTACATATTCGTCTCCAAATTGGGCTGGTTTTCCATCAAGACGAATATGCGTGCAGTCGATAACTCCAATAGCTGTGGAAAAACGGAACCTGGTCAACCATTTCTCTTTGGCCTGCATAATTTGATTTTCTGTATTTGGGAACCTGATAAATTCTACGGCTTGTTGTACAATTCGCTCTAGCACGTCATGAAATATTCTGGACACTGTGGGCTGCGAACATCCCAATTCTTCAGCTATTACGCTCTGAAATCCATGGTTCGCAGAATACCGCAGAAATATTTCCATTTTCTGCACAGGTGACTGGGCTGCTTCACGAGTTTTGAAATCCATGCCAAGAAAGTAATTTGCCAACCACACCACATTTTCTTCCTCAAATCTGACTCACGAGGTGTACGTTGGTTTGTAGTATTTTCTTGTACGTAAATGCACCACATTAGCCATAACTAACACAATACTGCAACTAATCAACCAAAGATCACTTAAACAAGCCCTTAAAAATAGATTTTATTAAACGAAAATGCACTAATTTTAAGGTGCCGGGACAACTGATGATAAAATGAGAAAAGTTGCTGTAACCTAGATTCCTTTTTTTAGAAGCAAATCCTTTAGTTTTTAAGCAAATGCTTCTTTTTATAAATAAGAAAACGTTAACACCTTTTACTTTACAGAAGCGAGACCTTTTCCTTCACTTCTTTTTATGCATATACTTTGAAGGAATTGCTTTATTTTTTGAAAGCAAAAGGTAAAACTTTTTTTATAAATATGGACTAATGAGCCGTATTCATAGAAGAGAAGCATATCCTCGGAAGCATAAGGTAAAAGTATAAGGTCTTGCTTCGGAGAAAAAGGTAGAAGTATGAGCATATCCTTGTTTTCATATTCATAATGATTACTTTATACTCGCGAGGATATCCTCCAAGCAGAAGTAAAAGGTTGACTGGTATTTGTATTTTGAGCGACATGCCCTGACTTGTTCCAGCTTGTAGATGACGTGGGAGTTCGTTCACTTAGCATCACTGACAGTTGTACTCCAGAGCTTACGCAGACCGTTCCGTATTTTTACTGGATACAGTTTTTTATCAAATTAATAAGTATGTCATCCTCAAGTGATGAGGAAACTATAGAGAATAATGGCAGTTCATCGCAGATGAAATTGCCATTGCTCCCATTATTTTGCAAAAGTCACAAGTTCCAAAAATAAAAATGAGAAAGTACGATGCCTTGAAAAAATTCGAATCAACATTCGGTAAACCATTAGATACTAAAGGCATATTAAAAAAAATCAACAACATGAAGTCAAGATTGAAGAAAAAAACAGATCTAAAAAAAACTGGTAATAAAGTAATTAAACTGTTAGATTGGGAAAGAAAGTTGCTGAAAACTATGAAAGGTGACTGTAATCCTACAATTGGGAAAATTAGAGGTGCCATTTAGGTTGGTAGTGTTCAAGAAGAAGTAAGTGAACTATATACCGAGCGCAGTGAGCAAACACTTAGTATTACAGCGCCTGCAATTCAGAAGACATTGCCACCAAGAAGAAAATTAGCAACAGAGAAATACGAAACTGAGGAAACCAAAGCGCTGACTACAAAAGAACTGCAACGTTTAGTGCTATTTCAGCAGTACCAAACAAGTATTTTACAACAAGAGTATTATAAAACGTAGTTAGAAATGATGCAGCGTCAGAAGCCACCTGTAACTTATGATGTTCACGAAAATAAAACTTATTATAGCTTATAAATACATTTTAATCAGTAAAACTATTTATTATAATACTCAAGTTTCTTCTTATTTGTTGACCTAGTTGGCGGAGAGGAAGTTCGTCATTCTCATGATTTCCTTCATCTTCATCTGGGTCTTGTTCAACTAACTCAAAGTCAGGATCGCTCAAGTTCTTCGCAACATTATGGAGTACAATACAAGCAATAATTATTTTCTGCACATTTTCCAACTTTACGCGGCAAAAATACTGTAGAATAGGAAACCGGCTTTTCTATTTGGCCGAAACAGCGTTCAATTATAACTCTTTCTTGTTTGAAAAGCTTATTATAATTTATTTCTTCACCTGGAGTAGGATTTCTGAAGGGAGTCATAAGGCATGTCTCAATACCATAACCGTCATAGCCAAGTAGTACAATACAACATTTGCTTTATTTATTGTGATCTTGTCTGTGAATTTCTCCATATTCTGGAATCATGCGCTGATGCAGTCCAACTGACATCAACCCTTGTGAACCTCTCTCTGGCATCACAAGTGGCTTGCACATTTAGAGTAGGTTTCCCTTTGATTTGGTTGCAGGATTCCTATATGTGTACAATCCATTACACCAATTGCTGTCGGAAATTTATACATGCTTTGCCATATCCGCTTGGCCTCCATCAGTTCATGGTTGGTAGTTGGAAACTTGAGTCATTCGTTCGACTGTGCAACTACGGTGTTCACAACTCCATCTACAGTCCGAGATACCGTTGCTTGACTAACGCCAAGTTCCTGACCAATACCTTATTGATATCCAGGGTCACCGAGATAGCGTAGACATATCTTCATTTTATGAATACATGAAAGTGCTCCTCCTCGAGTTTCCACATTCTCAACTAAAAATCTGTCCGCAAGCCATTGTACATTTGCTTCGTCGAAGTCACGACCAAGTGAAGGTAAACGAGGTTTGTACGTTTTAACATCCCTAACATCCACAATTTCCGCCATCATCATTTGACCACCTTTCGTTACGAAGTTGAGTCTGCTACTGACCACACTCAGAATTTTTGAAGGATATGCTTCCTATGTCAAGTATAAGGTGAATATTATGAATATCCTTTTACTTATGTCACTACTTTGAAGGATATGCTTATACTCAAAAAGCAAGAGCATTTACTTTAAATTATTATAAATACCATCTGGCAGATTTCCTTCAAAATTTGCAAGTACAAGGATATCCTTTGTTTGAATGGAATACGGCTCAATATTTGAAATCCATATTAACCTAGAAGAAGAACTCATTTATGTCCGAGATCAACCAATACGATATATTTTTACTGTGTTACGTGACCATACAATTTACGATGTATCAAACTTTCAATGTTAATAATAATAGAAGACCTTTATTTTTCACTCATCGAAGGCCAGCATTCTAAAGAAAAATAGTACATTACATGCCTACTGTGATCCATTATTAAGCGAGCAATTATATAAACCGCCGAAGGATATAATGAACTTTTGCGCTGTACTTTTTTCCGAAGAATGGATTGCAAGTCCATTGCCTCAACCTCCACATTGAAGGACTGTGTACTTTGTAGAGTAGTTACTGAAGGACTGCAGCAGATTTGCACACTGGCAGTTTTGTTATTCAAAATATTCTTGGAAGAGGTTTTCAGCAAGGAAAAAGAAATGTAGTCCTAAGGTAGTATCCATTGACACTGACAAACTGCACTCCCTTCTGTTTGCTGATGTTCAAGTGTTAAAGGCCGAAACTGACGACTGTAGCTACATGCTGAGAAAGCTTTTTGACGAATATAGTAGTTGGGGATTTAAAATCAAAACCAAAAAGACGGAATATATGATAGTTGGTACTGATGATCAGCATGACTTAGATGCTGGGAATTTTACTATCAAACACACTTCCTGTTTTAAATATCTAGGTCTCTATGGGCAAGTGGGAAGAGTTCAGATGGCATAGTCAATAAAATAGGGCAAGGCAAACGAGTTATTAGGCAACTAAATCCAATCCTCTGGTGCAAGAAAGTTAATAACAAAGTGATGAGATCTATAAATAAAACTATAGTACAGAACATTAATACGTATGGAGCTGAGGTATGGGAAATCAAAGATTAAGACAAAAATCAACTATTATCTCTTGAAATGGACCGTATTATTAACGAGGAGATAAGAAGGAAAATGGGAGTAGAACGTATGAACAACGATAGATGGCCGCAAAATATACAGGTATGGAATTGGATCCCGGCGACCGGCAACCCAGGAGTTCGAAGACTGATGTCAGAGAAGCCATGAGAACAAGAAATCTTCAGGAGCGAGACTGGGAGGATCGAAAATTGTGGCGATTGAGAAGCAAGAAACGGCTGTAGCTGTAAAAAAACTCGCAAACATACATATATATATATATATAGAGAGAGAGAGAGAGAGAGAGAACATGATCATGCGGAGAAAGGTACATAACAAAAAATAGGAAAATAATGGGCAAAATCCGCAAAAAGGAAAAGTGGATTCGGGCAGAAAATAGGATAAGTACCCCGAGCAATACGTATTTCTGTGTTGGCTTCTTCAGGCCCAAAATGAATGCACATACGCAACCACAAAAGTAGATACACATGCCCATACATCCGGATACGGGTATAATCTAAGGAGACGATGATGGAGAGGGAAACAATGACACACGAAGTCACCAAGAAGAGCCAACCTACAAATTTATGTAAAATGGCTAGAAGACCTAGAATTTTCAAAGACACAACTAACCACAAGCACGCGGCCGGTTATAGCCACTGAATTTATTATTATTTCATAGTAAAGGAAACAACAGATAATATACATAAAAGGGAAGATTATTCTTATGAACTCTATTGTGTCTGTTCAGTGATCTTTTAATTATTGAATTCTATCATCTGATGTTATACAACATGAGTTCAACTCCACTGAATTTGACTCTCCCGACCAATTCAAAATTATGATGTAGAAAAACCTAATATGCTCGTAGAATTCATGCTCTTGTATAATATCAGTTTGTAGAATTAAATGATTAAAAAATTACTGAAACAATGAAAATAACATGTAATTTTCTCTTTTATTTATATCATGATTGCTCCATTGTTTTTTGCGAAATAATAATAAATTCATAGTATGAGAGCGTCGTACATGATACAGTATAAGGGAATAAAAAAAACTGAATTCGACCATGCAACTTTGACTTCCCAAATCATCTTTAGTTCAATTTTCAGTTTTTCAATATCTTACAATATTAAAACTTATTCCAGCCCACTTCTTGTGTCCTTGAGAGCAAACAAACAAACTTTTACTTTGTGTCTGATCTACTATAATTATGAATTGTACATTTCCTATGAAAGTTCTTTACTTTCACGTTATAAATAGTAATTTTACGCTCTCATTTTATTGCCACTAGATTCTAGTGAGGAAGCTCAGTAGGCCCTAAAAGAGCTGTGAATATAAAATTAATTAAAGTACCGCCAAATATTTTTACTGGATAAATATAGTGTCAATGATATGATAGCAATAATTCCCATATTATGCTCAACTAGGTATTTGCTTTAAGCCAAGAATCTGCTCTGATCATAACTATTTAGAAAAACTGAGTACAATTTAAAATCACGAATTAAGTAGAATTGTTCATGTGCTTATACCGCTAATAAATATTTACTTAAGTTTTTTTGCCTTATTTGATCTATCTGTGATTATTAACCATAGCTGAGCTATTTACGCCGCAACACAGATAGTATTTCTGTCCTGTACACTCACTACGATGAGCTAACATAAAGGGTAGTCCAACGAAAAGGTCGCACCCCCATTTGCGACTCTCCTGGTATATTTTGGGAAAAATGCTCGGTCACGTCAATTTTGATTTTTCTTTTTATCTATAGCCGTAAAATACAGGGTGATCCAAAAATAAGATATTGTTTTAAACTGTTTAAACGGAAACTCCCAGTTTCTTAATTTTTAGATTTTCCATTAAGTTTTTAGTAAGTTTAGTATATACGTAATGAAGTTTATACCTATCTTCATTCGTTGTGAAGCTATTTGAGTTTATAATAAAATTCTAGAAATTGTGATAATAAGGAATTGTATCATAAAAATAATAATAAATATACTTCCCATAAACAAGTCTCCGAGTACTGATAAACAAAAAAAACTTACAGCTTATACTCACATTAAAGTTAAAGTAAAAATTAATTTGCTATAAAGAGGTAGGTCAATGTGGTAATAAGTGCTGAAAGTGGGGTCCATTCACCTTCATGCAATAATAAAGATTTTGTTCAAATCTATTCCTCACATTTTCAAGCATGTCTTGAGTTATTTGTCAAGATCTACTCTAATCATATTAGCAAATTTTCCCGAAATAATTCTAAAGTCTGGTTTTATTGATGCAAGTTGTTCAAGGCGGTATTTTAAACATGGAAGCATAAAATGGGTACACCAATTTTTGTGGGAAAACTTTTTGTTCGACAACAAAGAATGAGAAAACGCGTTTTTTGTGATTCAATCGAAACTGTTGGCAGGAACGAAAAAACTCTTCAAGTAAGATTTTTAGGTATTTAGGAGACGTATAGAACTACACGGCACTTGTTGCTAATGCGACGATAATTTCACGCAGCTACTAGAAATTCTTCAAATCAGGTGGCTTCTAAATAACCACAACAAAATTGGAGTCGATTAGTCAAGTAATTTTTGAAAATTTCTAATTGTTTATACCAAAACTCTTGTCTTCCGGCCATCACTACTAGTTTATTGAGCAATATACAGGGCTCGTTCAAAGGGCATTTTATATCAAAATAAACGAATTTACTTTCCCGTCATGAAAAAACGAAGGGCTACGTTTTTTTCTTCCAAACAAATTCGAATATTTCGTATTTGTTAGTAATTGAACAGATTTGCTACGATATCCGAAAAACATACGTTACTATACACATTTTAAAATAAAACGGATGTGTCTATCACCTTTTGCTGCGAAGAAAAAAATTGTTTTTTAAGATTTCTTCGTACTCTTGTGTATACATATTTAGAGCTGAAATTTTTACACGGTTACAGATGAGCCTTAAAGTTTATAAAAAAAATATTTCATACTGAAATGCGCTGAACTGTTTATGAAGTTACATGTGGTCTCATTGTGTAGGTCTCATAAATACCTAAAAATCTTATTTGAAGAGTTTTTTCGTTCCTGTCAATACTTTTTCGATTGAATCCCAAAAATCGCGTTTTCTCATTCTTTGTTGTCGAATAAAACGTTTTCCCACAAAAATTGGTGTACCCATTTTATGCGTCCATGTTTTAAATACCCCCTTTTATAACTTCCATTAATAAAACCGGACTTTACAATTATTCCGCAAACCAGGGGTATTTTCGTCTAACATGATTAGACTTATCAGCCGTAATCAGCTGACGAAGACCTTGAATGGAATCTGGCTTCGTAGTAAAAACTTTTCAAATGCCCCCAAAGAAAGTAATCTAAAGGACTTAGGTCCGTGGATCTCGGCGGCCACTCGATGGGGCCTCGT